ATGCATGCATGCGGGCACTGATGCATGTATGTATGTACATATGAAAGCAAATCTTTGGTTATGTACTACAATGTAATATAATGTAGCAAAATGCAATAGCATGTAATCTAATGTAATAAGATCTAACGTAACCTAATGTAACCTATGGTATAATCTATCGTCATCTAGTGTATCCCAATGTAATACATGTAAAATTTAGTGTCAGTTAATGTGGCCTAATGCTAGTCTAATGTAACATTGTATAATCTTTCGTAGTCTAACGTAACATAATGCAATAACATGTAATGTAATGCAACATAACTTACTTGAATATACTGTTATGAAATGCTATATACTGCATGTGTCTCCAGGCTTGATAAAGGGTGAGAATTTTGTTATGGTATAATAGAACTTGTCATGGTGATACCATTTGGCATCTATGCTGAAAATTATGACATGATATGACATGATATGACATGAAGTGGTACAATATGGCATGTTCTGATATTAGCTGATATAGTATCGTATAATCTGGCGTAGTATGTACTGATCTACTATACATGTAAACGTAACTACAACATTTTTTGCGGTAAATATCACTCAGACTGCAAATAAATCTGAAGATGAATACAACGACAAGTATTGATATCAGTGAGAGTTTGCGTCTAAATGCAGACTTTACTGTGTTTATCAACATGAGTACAAACACAACTACAAATTCGGACATACACATGCATCTTTAAACAGTAAGTACAACACCACTAGAAGTTTAAATGTGAATAGATAATTCGTATTCGTACAAGTAGAATTACTCGGCGCAAATATTCAAGTAAGGAAATATGTAAGTAAATGGTTATGTACATATGTATGTATATATTGCATAAGTATATATATATATATGTATATATATACACAAACAGATGAATAAATAGATAGACAAATGTATGTAAATATACATAAATAAATAAATAAATATATATATATATATATGTATCTATACGATTACAAACCATACACATACACATACATCACGTGCATGCAAACATACACACATACAAACACACACACACACACCCACATACATACGTACATACATACAGACATACAGACATACAGGCATACAGAAATTCAGACATACAGACATACAGACATATGTACGTACATACATACACACATGCACACATAGACATACATATACATATACACATACATGTACATAGATACCGACGTGTATACATACGTAAATACATACATGTACATTCCCGTACATGCACGTGCATACACGTACATACACGTACATACACGTACACACATGTACTTACACGTACATACACGTACATACACGTACGCACATACATACACGCCACTTAGATAGACCCATGCTTGCTTCGACTCGGGTCCTCAGTCTTGCGGGGCTTGTCTTTTGAAGTGACTCCCATTACGGTGCATCGGGACCTTAGGGACAGACCTACTTTAACAGCGATGATCTGTGCTGGGTTGGTGAAGGTTACATTCCGGCTCTTGCAAAGTGCAGAGCTGCGGGGCTAAGCGAGGTTGATCATGTATGGGGAAGACAGTTTGGGCGTTTGAGTCTTCCAAATCCCAAACCCAGTCAAGATTGAGCCCTGGGTAAACCCTAACCTCCTAAACCCTAAAGCCGCAAACGCCAGCCGCCAGCCCCTGAAGCCCCAAATCCTCATGATACCCTAAACCCGAAACCCAAATCGAAAGGAAGCTGGGGAAGGGCCAGCGCCCAGCACGCCACCGCGAAAGCGCGCGCTGTTCCCAGTCTACCGAGCTCGGAGTGTCTGGCGTTAGGGTATGGGGTTGATTCAGGCTGTAGGGTTTGGGATTTGGGGCACAGGGGTTCAGAGTTGAGGGTTTAGCGTCTGTTGGAGCACCCGGCTTTTTCTTCTTGTTGGCTGCGTTCCCAAAAAACCAAGATGCATAGCACACTTGCAGGTATACTCATGTTGCCAATATTGACTGCTTGTGTGTCGGGCATTTAAGTGCGGGTTAGCGTCTACGTGATGCGAATCCTAAACTCCGGAACCACAGTCGCTATGCAAATGCCAATGCTACAGAACGCTCAAGCCCGCCGCTCTGAGCCGTACCCAGGACAGAGCTGTGGAGCTTTTGATGGCGACGCCGGCAAAGACGAAGCGGGAAGAGGCGCGAGTGGGATGCAGGGTGCTGTTCGGGTCTTGAGGGTCTGGGGGTAGTGGAGTTCTGCAAGACACGAAGACTAGGGTTGGAGAGAACCGTAACTTGGAATGTTGTTGCGGGCATCAACGCAAATCAAGGACAGTCTTCAACATCGGAACGAAGATCCTTGAACACATCGGACACGACATGAGCAGCAGGCAGCATTCACTGCCGATCATTACCATTGTCTTCCCCATAGTCATGTGAGTGGTCATTTTCGTCACAATCATGACAATTATCATCCTAATCCTCGCTGTTGTCATCGTCGTGTTTCTGATCGCAGCAACAGACGTCAGGATGAACATCTGTTGTCAACGGGTGAATGGTACTATCTGTATGTGTTGCTGCATCGAGCACACTGCACAGCCGCACATTGCAATAGTGCCAAGATCAGCAATGAGGATGGACAAGACGATGGAACAAAAGACACGAGCAGTCATGGGATCAGAACATTTGCTAGCAGCGCCACAATGACATCCCCGACGACATCGATGACCATGATCAGTGCCGCCATCGGCACGACTGTTGCATCAGGCTGGCAACAGCAGCAAACGAACGACTCAGGTGCACATGTATGTCTGCACATGTGTGCGTGTGTCTCCATGTGTCTGTCTGTCTGTCTGTCTGTCTGTCTGTCTGTCTGTCTGTCTGTCTGTCTGTCTGTCTGTCTGACCGTCTGCCTGCCTGTCTGCCGGCATACATGCATACTTGCATGCAACTGCGTGGGCATATGTGTTCTGGAAAACCCCCCGTTTAGACGAAGTCTGCACCCACAGGATGACGCTGCGCCGGGCACTCCACCACGTTGCGAGGCAGTGTGCCTAGCTCTTCGTAGGCTAGCGAAGTCGCAGTTCACATAGGCCTCGCATCTTTTCTCCCCTTTTGATCGTCTCCGTGGCTTTTCTAGCTTAGTTCTTCATGCTGAACTCTTGCTGTTGCATCAACCCGGCCATGTAGAATTGTGCCGTCAGCAAAAGACACAGGCATCCAAGATGCGCGACGAGCCGACCACGCCACCGGCGCCGAAGAGGGCGAGACAGACCCGGCTGATGGATGAGGCGCGCGAAGCGTGATTGTGGCGTTGCAGCTTTTGCAAAGTGCCTAGGAGTAAGGCACTGTCTTTCGGCTTGACAGTTGCAGTGTTCGTGGTCGGCATGTGTTGGCATTGCCCTCATACTACCGCCACTGCCACTGCCACTGCTCCTGCTGCTGCTCCTGCTCCCGCGCCTGCGCCTTCGCCGGCGCCTGCTCCTGCTCCTGCTCCTATTGCTCCTGCTCCTGCTGCTGCTGTTATTGCCGCTCCTCCTCCTCCGTACTGCTACTACTACTACTACTACTACTACTACTACTACTGCTGCTGCTACGGCAGCTGCTAGTGTCAGTGCTAATCGTCGTCCTCGTCGTCGTCATCGTCCAACAGAGCAGTCTTGGCAGCGTGGCCCTGGCAACTCTTCGTTATTGTTGTTGCCGTCATCAAGCGCGCGCGTGTGTGTGTGTGTGTGTGTGTTCTTTCCTAGTCTTCGTTGGTTGTCTTCTTACTCGCCTGTTATGTAGCATCATTTGTGCAGATCTATATCATATCGGTATATACATACATGTCTGTGAACATGAAATCGATATACAGAGTCGTCCAGCGATACTCTGTCTACGAGGACCACCATTTGGAATATGTCGTGGCAATGACCGTGATAGCTGTCATGGCTAAGCTCACTGCGATGGCTACAAGGACAACGATGGCGCCGACGAGCATGATGATGGTAAACGATGATGACGTCGACGAACATGACGACGACGAGGATGATTATGATGATGATGATGATGACGGTGAAGAAGGTGATGGTGATGATGACGATGAAGAAGATGATGATGCTGATTATGATGATGATGATGATGATGATGATGAGTGGCTGTTGCTGTTGTCCCTGATATGATTTCTTGAATGACTTGAGTGTTGTTCATTCCCAGCATTTCTTCTTGTGTCCCGCTCTCTTTGTTCACATGTGCCCTTTCTCGAAGAACCAAGTCTTTCCTGCAGTGACAGTGTTCTCGTCACGCTGTGCCGATCCAGGAGGAGCCCGTTTCGGAGAAGGCTGACCTCCTGGGTCTCAGGGTGCGGAGGTTTCGGACTTCGGATGTAGGGCTTCGTGTGTTGGGTTAAGGATTTCTTTGGGCCTTAGCTTTTCGGGCTTACTTCCGCGGCCTAGATCCGTGGAAAGCATACACAGCTGCTTGTGGCAGTCATCCAAGTGACCCGACACCTCCAGCTATCCCCTTCAGACCAAGATGGTTCCCAACGCCCCGGAGCAGCACAGCGTCTTGATGGACGAGGCTCGCTGCTGTCCTCCTTTGGATGTGCGTAGTAAGGTCGAAAACCCTTTGGCCCCAAGCCAGAGAAATTGCCTCATCGCAGTGTCTTTGGACAATATGCACCTTGAGTGGCGACCATGCATGGACTGTGCTGTGACAGCTGTTGGTTGTGCAGAAGTCACACAACAGAGGAGCGACTTGTAGTAGGAAATCGTTTGTCGCAACTCGCCCATGCCTGCAGGCCTGCAAGTTCATTACAGAGACCAGGTGTGTGGACAACAGAGTAAAGGTTGGATTCAGGGTTTCGGGTTTAAAGTTGAAGCTTAGGAGGGTATCTGGAGGTTGCTTCGAGTCAAGGTTCTGTGTGAGGTAGTTGGAGAAAACCGAATCCTTCTTTTAAGGATCCCCAAAGAAGGTATGCTTATTGTACCACAAGCCTCCCGTAACCCTTAAATCTTGAATCCTAGCCCTACACCCCAAGCTCAATGGCCTGAGCCTGAAGCCTTGAACCCTAAACCCTAAAGCCCGAAGCCCGACAAAGCCCACGAGGTCTTCTGAATGTGGGGCTGCTCCTCAGAGCGAGCCGGGATCAGGAAGCCCGAGGCGTCTTGGAGTTCAGCTGCTTTTAATTTCATACGGGGGGTTGGGGCTTAGCGTTGAGGGTTAATGTTTGTTCGTGTTCATGGGGCGGCATGAAGGTTTTCTCGGCTTGTGGTCATAGTGTTGCATCTTAGGTTTTATTAGGTTTCCTCAGTGCTTTACAAGGGGTTCATCAGACTTTAGAGCTGTTCTTTCTTCTTCGCTTTGTCGTCGTGAGCAGGTTTTGGGGTTGCCTGTCTTTGAAACTTGCGGGATTCGGCTGGGCCCCTGACCCCGACAGTGCGCTCTCGGGATCGTCATGCTAGTCGTAACCGCGAGAATACCAATGGCAGTACCAAGAAATGTTAGAGAGGCAGTTCGTTCATGAAAATAAACCCCAGAACAAGAAAGACGTGATACCCTCAGCAACTCTAGAAGTAAGTTCGAGATCCTGACCGACCCCCCGAGCCCCAAACCCCAAACCCGAGATGCAGACAGTCCAAGTGCTTCAGGTGGCTCTGCGAGAGTGGCAAGGATCGGCGCGAGCCCATGGAACATGATATGGGGGTGTGGGGGGCGAAGGTCTCTAGGGCTTCCTGGGTTTCGGGTGCGCGGCTTCAGGATTTAGGGTTGGCGCGTGGCGTGTTGTGTTCGGTTCAGGTACAGGCCAGCACAGAGGTAGACCTGATTGGAACAGAATTTTTGCAATCTTTCTTTTTCTCTTTCGGCCTGTCTCCGCCGCTTAGCAGCCAGATCCCGGAAAACTTCATGCAATTTTTATTTTGGGGTCTCCGTATTAATACTGAACAGAATGCAGAAGTGTACCCTGATTCTGAAAGGTCTACAAGTTACCGGGGAACCGGAAAGCTTGAATCCAAACCCCTGAAGCCTACATAAACCCGAAACCCCAAACTTCCTAAACCCTAAACCCCCCCTTAACCCTAAACCCGAAACCCTAAACCCTAAAACACGCCTTAATCCCAAACCCTAAACCCCCCTTAACCCTGAAGAGAGCCTTAGCTCTCAACCTGGAGCCCGACATTCCCAGCCCTAGAACTTTTTCGGTTTAGGGTTGTTGGGTTAAGGGTTTGCGGCTTCACCCTAACATGGGGCCCGGTTCTTTTTGCCTTATATTGAAAGTATACTCTACCATACTCCCAAACCCCTATCTGTAGAACGGCCCCCTATACCACCCTGAGTTCGAGGCCCCAAGCTCCGAAACTCGTCAACCCAAAATCCCAAAACCTCAAATCTGCGCTGAAATCCTTCAAACCCTCCGGGCCCGAACCCTAAGCCCTAAACCCTGCCCGACGGAGGAGCCGTGAACAGCTGAAGCCTGAAACCAAAGCGCCACTCCAGAAGGCCCAAAACCCTCTTCTACTTCAGTTTTGATTCAACTGAAGCTATCATCTGTGAAATCTGAGGGTGAGAGAGAAGGATTGCGGAATCGGAAAAAGCACGGGAGATTTCAGGGTTTCGAGAGCCTCAGCCCTAAACCGTTCGGGTTTTGTGTAGTCATAAGCTAGCATCTCGAATGGCGAGAGGGTTTAGCTCGCTTAGTTTTAGGGTATTTTGGTACAGGGGGTTGCATGCTTCGGGTTTAGGGATCAGATGTTTGCGCCTCCAAGGCGTTTATCTGCGCCTCCACGGTATCCACAAGTGCTGATGCCGTCCAGTGTTTTTTCTCTGACGCAGGCAGCCAGTCACAAGCCCTAAGTCCTAAATCTTTGATGCCTAAAATCTAAACCGTTGATACCGGACCCGTGATTCCTGAATCCGGAGACTCTTCATCGCAAGATGAACGCCAGAGACAAACTGAAGGGAAGCGAGCCCTGGGCCCTTGTTTTTTCTTTCTCGCGCCTGCGTACCTATAACATGTCACTAAGACGCCTCACATGGCGTGGAGTCGGCAGTCGAAGAGCCAGGAATCTATGGCAGGGTAAAGATAGGGGTTTAGGGTTTAGGGAGGGTTTAGGGTTTAGGGAGTTTAGGGGCCCTTCTTGGCGAATGCATCTGTGCACACAGTACTACTTAGGTTGGTCTGAACAGCGCTGGGTAGTTGTGATGCTCGTAGAAGCAATGCAAGCAACATTCAAAATAGCTCGCCCATCCTGGGTGCCGCTCATGCTCGTGATCTTCAAAGGGCCAGTAGTCTGAGTAGGTTCTGTAGATTACCAACACTGCGTCTTTTGTTCCGGATTACAAGTTCGCAATAATCATCAATAATGTACTCCAACTCCACAGCCCGATTCTAAGTCTTCAGGCCTCTATACTAGATAGGTCGCAGGCGATTTCTCAACAGACTCTGAGCTTATCCAGCCGTCACGGACCATTCCAAGGACACGGACAAACTTGCGTAACCCCACGGAGCCCTATACAGTCTTATAGCACCCTTTGCTCATGGTCATGATTCTGATAGTGTGGCTTGTGTAAGTAGGACGATGAACCTTGCACCAACAATCCTGCCCATGTTCACCGTCACAGTACTAGTAGGAGTCTTCAGATGATTTGCCGACTCCATGAGGGGAGGGGAGGCTACATAGTGACAGGTGGGGAAAAAGTGGGAGCTTCAGAGAACCAGGGGTACCTTACTTAGGCTCCACGTGAGGGGTTCTTCACCTTCTGAAGCTCCCAAGTGACATGGAGGTCACTGCTTGAAAAGAGACCATTCAGCTCGGATTTCCTGGTCCATAGGTGGTTGCACACTTTAGGCTAGAGGGGTTCTAAACTTAAAAGCGTCTGGTAGGAGCTGACGATTCGGGGTTCAGGGTTTCACGATCATAAATCTCTCAATCGCATGTCTTCCTCAACCCGAGACCTCAAGCGTGGACCGTAAATCCCATAAGCCCTAAATCCCAAGCCGTACAGGACCCTGAAGCCTAAACGCGGAACCCTTCAGCCAGCAAGTTCTGAACTCTTCAACCTGCGCCTGAATCTTGGGCCGCAAGGGTTAAGGACCACTCTGGTTTTCGTTTCTCTAGCCGCTATGACTGTAGCTGCAACCGGACCCGGACACCCAACCCCTCCCTGCTCTGTACTAGTAGCCGCAAACGCTTAACCCGACCCCATACTTGGAATTCCCTGGATCCCGGAAGGCAGCAAACCTGCAGGGCTGGCTACATGACGCTTTAGGGGTTCAGGCTTAGTGTCCAAGATTCCCGAAACCATTTCGCCAGTATACCCCGATAAACCCCAAAATACCCGGAACCGCTGCTCACCTGATGATAGTAGCACTGTGGGAGATTCCTTTATGAAAGGGAACCTCAACATAAGCCGGCAAAGCAGCAAAATCCTTCTCTAAAGGACGACTGCAAAGACTCCTCATTTTTAGGACCATTACAAATAGCACCCAGATAAGCAAGACTAATGTAAAGCGGATGAGGCAATGATGAGAATATCCACAGCCCCAAGGGTAACAGTTGTACTCATATCCCTAAACAAACCCAAAAACCCTGCATCTCGGAAACTTGAGGCGGCTGCAGATCGACTATGGGCATTCTTAAACCCTAAACCCTAAACCCTAAACCCTAAACCCTAAACCCTAAACCCTAAACCCTAAACCCTAAATTGCGCCGTTGGGTTATCGGCTCGAAGGTTTGCAGGACGCTACAGGGAGCTGGTGGTATGCAGCATGAACCCGGATGGCAGGTCGACAGCGGCCACAGTAGTAGGGAATGCTACAAGTTGTATTCAACTCCTTACAACATCCCACTAAGTCATGAAAGCCAGGATGGCAGTGGCATCTTTGGACACTGATTCGTGGTTTGAGTAGGAAGCCTTGTTTCCCAACCTGGTAAGGACCGCAGCTTTCAAGGTTGATGGAACAGCGGGCCCTTGAAGAGGTACATCATCCAGATTAGTGCCTTTAGGGTTTATAGGGTTTAGTCAATTGAACTTCCACGCCCTGCTTCATGTACATCAGTTGGGAGAGCCTCAGGCTGAGAAAACAGAACTGGGAGTAGGGGAGTAACATCAGCTTAGCTCACCTTAGGGTTTGTAAAGACGCCATGAACATGGAGATGGTCATAAGCTCTCAGCCAGTGAGGATGTCCGTGACTGCGGAAGGTGTGAAGCATACCTTGACCGTGCATGAGACGGCCTTGACGCAAATACCATATTTCAAGGAGTCTTCGTGGTGTGCTGGAAAAACGGACTTGGACATTACGCTTCCAGCTGGTACTGGGATCGAAGCAATGCAGTTCCTGCTCACCCGATGCTATGGACTCCAATTGTCCAAGCCATCGACCACGCTTGCATGCCAGACGTTCTTGCTGTCGGAGTTTTTTCTGATGCATGAAGACCGAGCGGCAATTCTGGATCTCTTGAAGAGGACTCTCGTGTCCCAACAGGCCCTTGATGAGGCCCGCCAGTGCTTCAGGGAGAAAGAGGTGCCTCAAGAATTGCAGCACATTCTGAGCAACGTTGCGACTTCTGTGGACTCCTTGGTGCTGGATGTTGCGCAGTGGGGCGAGGCATCTGTGAAAGCAATGCTTCAGACATGCCTTGATAGCCTATCAACAGCGCCTGCAGACCTTGATGATGCCAAGCCGAGAAAAAGCGCAGATGCTTCAAGTCTGTTCCATGAAAAGGAAGGTTACCAACGGAGTTGGTTTGCGTTGTCTCCCGAGGAGAAGAAGAAGTGGGAATCTCAAGCGGAGGCATTGCAGAAAAAGTTCCTGGATCTTGAGAAGTCTTGGAAAGAGCGGCGGCAGATTCAAGCAAAGCACTTTGAGAAGGTGCGGGAAATCTTTGATCGCCGAAGTTCGCGAGGCCTTGTAAAGACCGATATTTCCATCTTGATGAACATGTTGGTGGGTCCCGCGGCAACCAGAGTTAGAGCATACTTCTCTCGGGATGAGAGAGTCAAGACGGGCAAAGCTGCCTCCTCTGAAGGGGAATTCGAATGGAAAATTTGGAAGTATTCGCTTCAATTAGGCTTCGAGTCCTTGAGTGCCGTGGCTTCTGCTTTGATTGCTGCTCACCCGGATTTCTGGGCCGTCTTCGTCTTCGATTTGGTCGCAGGCCTTCCGTTCGAAGTTCAGGCACAAACTCGCAAGAATGCTGACGGGAGTTTCACATTCACTACTGTTGCTGGGTTCTGGAGTAGTATACATTGTATACATCCTTTTCTTGTTGGGATCGCATTTCCTTAGAGGAACCATGCTGGAATGAAAGGTTACACCTTTTGGTCACTTCCTCAAAGCCCAGGTTGGTGTAGAGCTAGCAGAGGGCTTCTGGCGGCGCTTGGCAAAGGTGTTGGAGGCTGCTGTTGACCTTGGGATGCGCTTGTTGAAAGAGAGGAAGCTGCAGCCTGTTCAGCTGATTACTGGTCTTGCAATGCTTCTCTTCAACATCTTCTCCATTGGTTACGAGGACGTGCCTTCTTGGTTGCAATCTGCATTCGGCCGGGTTGCTGCTGCCCTGGACCCTGCTGCCAGGGCCCTGCTTGTTGACACCCTGGTACTTGCACGGCTTCCTCAGACTGTCGAGACATGCTGGAACCAAACGATTCGGAGCAGCATGCATCCTCCCTCGGAGTTACTTCGCTTGAGTAAATTGCGCAAGTCCAGGCCAGAACAAGACCGGTCGAGGATGGTGGACGAGGTGATGCGAGAAGTGGAAGTGTTTGCGCTTTTCGATGATGCAGGCAAACAGCAAATCTGTGACTTCCTGATGCAAGGACACGATGACTGGCAACCGTTTCTGGGGTGGCTTTCTGGCAGTAAGCTACGAGCCATGGGTTTGGAATTGCAAATTTCATGTATCAATTGGCTCGGAGCCCATGTCCTTGATCTAGTTGCGGAGGACCTACTGGACCGGATTGATGATTGGCTCGAGGCATTCAGTGACTCCCCCAAGCTGCTGCAGTCGTTAGCCGTGCTCTTGATGCCAATCTTCCCCCAAATCTTTGACTTCGACGAAGAGTCTTATGACTACCTTATGGAGCTGGCGAACCCCAGCAGCGCTGACTTGGAAGTGCAGCAGCCTGCTGACTCCACTGGGCCTCAGGAGCCGGACCAGAAGCGATCCCGGCTTGCGTGACGAGCTTACGCTTGAGAGAGCATCTAGAAGCCTGAGGGGTCAGCAAGAGTATTCCGTGGTCGTCCTTATGTAGCGGTAATATCATATACCCCAAAGCTTAGTCAGATTCTTGAGGCACTGAAATAACAAGCGTCTTTCTGAGGATCGAGGTATTCCTCGCATCTCCCCACTACAGTACGCCCTAAACCCGAAACAAGTATTACTGCCTTTCGTCTATGGACCCAACTACGGGGGATCTTTCGACCCACCCCAGATCAGCGCTGAGTTGTTCAATCTGAGGAGCTTCTGGGTTGAATTCTCCACTTTTCAAGGTGGGCATTGTTCTTACTAGTATTCTAATCATAGTCATAGTGATACTGAAGCAATAATAACCTTAATAGTCATAGTGGTACTAACAATGAGGGCTCGGATTGAGGGCCAGCTCAGGGTTTGGGGTCAAAGCTACGAGTCTCATGGCCGGGTGGCTCAAATCAAGGATAGGGTCCTTGTTCGGTGGGTAGAGTTGTGACCCATACCGTAGCCGCTGTGCAGCCCAGACAGAGAATACGATCCCGTTACCACTGCCGTTCTCGTCATCACGGTCTTCCAGGGCTTCTGGTTTCGCTTGTCGGCGCTACAGACGTCGCTTGCGGTTCGCCGGATTGTGCATGTGGCTCCTGATCAGTCGTATGATGTCTATACATGGTGACCTTGGCTCAAAGGACACTCAGGGCATGTCGGCCTCTTTCATGCGCCATCCTGAAACAAACGTTGAAGCTTAAACGCTCATGTGCAGGAGGGTACCTACGCCGTAGTCCTTAAGCATCCTTAACTCCGAAACTGTGTAGGAACATGTTGAGCGGAAAAAGAGCGGTCGAATCAGCAGAGAAACAGATTAATTAGAGACGGTTATACTGGTATTGCCAAGTATTAGTTGCGATTCGGCCAGCATCCACTGTGATGATGCTCCTGCGTGAAGAGGACAAATGCAAGGGGAGATTTCGAAGAGGAGACGAGTCGTAAAAGCAGGAGTACGGAATTGCCGAGAAGAACAACAGAGAGGACCATGGAGCCCTAAACCCTAAACCCTAAACCATCCTAAACCCGAAACCCTAAACCGAACTGTAGTCGTAGTAGTCGCATGGCGCTCTCAGAGGCACAGCAGCAGTAGCAGCTTCTGGTCCCTGGGCCTCTTGCAAGTAACCCAGCTTTGGTGCAGCCTGGGCCCTTAGGTCGACACCCCTGATTCGAGAGTCCGAGGAATGGCTGTGAAGAGTTTGGGTGCTCCTGAGCCCTAAACTCAAGCTTTTTTACCCAAAGCCCGACTCCCCGGTCCAGACACCCTAAACCCTGAAACCCCTAAGCCCTAAACCCTGCACCCCATACCCAAAGGTCGGGAGCCTCTGAGCCCCTTCAAAGCCAACTTGGGAGGAAGATGCCGGCGTGCCAGTGCCAAGCACGCCACCACGAAAGGCCGTGCTGATTTTGTCCTGCCGACTCTTGGAGACATGTATCTGGATGTACGTGTGACACACTCATCTGCACATCTGCAGTTGCATACAGACCTTGACTGCATCTTGGGCTTTGGGGCCTAGGCTTTGGGGTGCAGTTTCCCTCAGCCCTCAACCTAGCGCTTACCCGAATCGAACTACACTTGAACTCTGAACCCCAAACCCTAAACCCAAACCTCGAACTCACCCGAGCCGCAGTCAGGGCCGCGACACGAAGCTCCTGATGGCGACACCGCCACCTTTGAAGCGTGAGAAGGTGCGGCTGCGAGTTCAGCATCCTCCGGTTCGCTTTGGGGGTTTGGGGGTGAAGTTTTCGCTGGCTTGACAAGAGCTGAACGTTTAGAAGGCGTAGGCTTCGCGAGCGACCCCGTCAGTATCATGACGATCACCATCCTGATCTTCGCTGCCATTGTATTCTAGCGCACAACAGACGTAAACACATGACAACGGTGTATACTATGGGTATGTTCTGAGTCTGCTACCGAAGCCAAGAGTTGCAACAGCAGCGAGGATGGACTGGCAAACGAAGCCGGACACGAGCAGAGATGTAAATGAAGCATGATGTTCTCTACTCCCTGTATATATCAAGTCAGCGGAGAGCCAGAAGCCAGCTTTAGCCAACATGCTAAGCACATTGGCAAGAGGTGTAGCAGCCTGATGTAGCATTCCGGCAACTGCAGCAAAAGATTATGCTGATGATGGAGATTGCCTGATGTTGAATCAAACATGACAACAATAGCAAGAGCCCAGCAGTCATGCATGATATCAGCGTCAGACATCGCTATGCCAAGAGTAGCTTCAATAGTACATTGGTTTCCTTTCTCTCTCTCTCTGTAAGATACAAGGTTCCGGAACTTAAAATGTTGTCCGAGGCTGTCACACAGAGAGAAGAGTGTGGACCACGTCAGCAGCAGCAGCAGCAGCAACCTCAAACCCTAGGCTCTGCATGCTCTCAATAATGTCTGCACTTGTAGGGCGAACATTCAAGCGGTATTCTTTTTTCACAGAAGTGATGCCTAAATCTGAATCGCAGAATACAACATGGCAAGACTGACCGCAAGAAGATCGGCAACCAGTGTCTCAAATTTCGAAGAAGAAGACTCATCGCAAAACAGACAGTGAGGACTTGTGATAGGAAGAAAACAGAGCACAAGGAGCAAACATAAGTAGAACAACAGTCTCCGAGCGGCAAGCTGTGGTGACTAGGATTCAGTACAATCCGCGCCCCTAGTTCTACACCCATGGTCGAGAGTTTGGAAGATGGCTGTGAGAAGCCTTCACCGACTCGGTCACGAATCCTAGACCCTTGCATCCTGCCCCCGAAACCCAAACCTCTATACCCCAAACCCCAAAAGCCGGAGAATCTAAGAATCCCCACCCTAAAGCCCTATAGCCCCAAAGGCCTACGGCCCAAACCCTCGCCCCGGGCTCTCCAGCAATTTCGGGAGGCGGGCGACGACGTGCCCGTGCCAAGCACACCAGTGCGAAAGGCCGTGCTGCTCCGAGATTGCCGGCTCTTGGATGTTCTGTTTAGGGTTTAGGGATTTTGGATTTACCGTTTCAGGGTTTAGTGTTTTGGGTGTACTGATGTAGGGTTACGGGAAAGAGTTGGGGGTTCTGGGGCTTTGGGCCTCCATGGAGGTACCGAACTATGCCATCGTTTACGCTTTGGATTGCCAAACCCGGGACCTGAATTTCGTGTTGAGGGTCACTACAAAGGTTTCTACGAAGATTTGTATAGGGTTAATAAATCAATGGTTAGCAGCCACATCCTCAACCCTACATCTAAGCCCCTAACCCCAAATCCAAAAGCCTAGCTCTAAACCCTGCACCGAAACCGGCAACCGAACACAATAAACCCTAAACACTATAAAAATCACAGCCTCCGAGCCGAACCCAGATCCGTGCTCCGGAGCTTTTGCTGGCGACGCCGGCAAAATCAAAGCGGGAACAGGCTGCGGGTGTTTCGGGTTTTACAGAGACAAGGTCGGGGGCTTGAGGTTGAGAGTATTGGAACCCTAAGCCCTAAACCAAGAGAGTTTAGTTTTAGGTTCAGGGCCAGGGTCCAGGATTGAGGTTTTCAGGTTTTCGGGTTTCGGGGACTTGATGCGTTGTGCGGTTCGGATTTTCGGGGTCGAAATCTAATGTGCTTTCTGGAAGATGTGAAGAGTAGCATTGATCCTTGCACTATAGAGAGCACGGGGAGCAAAACAGTAGTTGCAACGGCACGTGGGCTGTCTGTCGTACAAGCAACACAGCAGGCAAATGTAACCTTAAACGGCGCCGTGGGAATGGCACGACGAACACGACCGACAGTAGCTGGAGGAACGACCGAACTGGGGGAGGGTCCATGATCATCGTCATGTCGATACTAGCAAATGAGGATCAAACGCAAAGCGAACTAGCGACAGCACAGACACCGAGAGCGCCGTTGCTGCAAGGAGGGCACCGTAAACAGGAGTGCCAGCAGCATTCCGTGGAGGAGGGCTACGGTTCATGCTGCCAAACCCCAGCAGTGCAGAGGATGTAGGCAGGCCTGCGCTGCTATGTGAACGTAACGTGCGAGGTATCCACACTCAGGCAATTTTTGCCTTGCGATCTACTCGGATACTTTGAGCAGATTTTGAACACATGCCAGTGCAAGCTGGGATCCGCCACCTTCTGATCGCATGCCTAGCTTTGGTAGCTTAGTATTTCTCAATCTCGCGCGTGTACCATCTCGAATCCGTAGGACTGTGCCATCCCAAAATCCCTTTGTCCCCTGAGACGCACCAGCTGCCGGTCACGCCACCTTCACTGAAGAGGGTGAGACAGACTCGCTTGGCGGATGAGGCTCATGATTTCTTTCAACTAGCGTTCGCGAAATGCCTGTGCCTCTGGGCCGTGATTGGGTTGGGACAATTGCAGCTGTCAGCACCAGCAGCTGACCAGGATTGTCAACGGAGTCCGTATGCTGATGATAGTCATGGCGATGATGACCAATCATGTTGATGTTGGTGATGATGATGATGATGATCTGATGGCGATGGTCAGTCTATCTGTCTATCTATCTCTCTATCTATCTAGCTATCTAGCTAGCTAGCCAGCCAGCTATCTAGCTATCTATCTATCTGTCTATCTTTCTATTTATCTATCTATCTACCTATCTATCTATCTATCTATCTATCTATCTGGCTATCTATCAATCTGTCTATCTATCTATCTTACATCTGTCTTCTTTATCTATTTGCAAACACACGCTGTGTATGCATGTAACATATGTCTTCATGAACGCATTATTACATGCATGCACGCATGTACTCATGCATGCACTCTCGCATGCACTCACGCAGACACACACACACACACACAGACGAATGTGCATACTTTTGCACGGGTTTTCTTCACTATTGCTGCCTGCTTCATGTCGTTGTTGTGCTGATGGTGAGTGCTGTTATTATCGCAAAAATCACTTCGAGTTTTGTTATTTCCATGACTGATGACAGACGTGATGATGACAAAGACGATGAGGTTTTCATCATGATGATTTGTTGATTGTTATGGGTGTTTGTATTCCTATCATTTCTTGGACGGCTGCCGTTCCTAAAGCTGCTTCTTCTGCCACCTTTTCATGCGTGTGTCTGTGGTTGCTTCTGTTGTACGATTCCAATACAATGCTGCATGTCAACTTAATTCCAGTGTGAAGTACACTGTGCTGATCCAGCAGGAGCCCTGCCTGGAAAAGGCCGCGACAGGGTGTTGAGCTCCGGGGGGCTCAAAGTGTAGACGTTTCGAGTCTCATGTTTAAGAGACCGATTTTTAGGCTGGGCTTGGCATTGGACTCCGAGACTCTTTCGCACGCTTAGCAGTTTCCCAGGGCTTGTTGCTGTGGTTTCCTGTCATCGGAAACCAAGACTTGCAGTGGGTACGCATAACAAGCGAGTGTTCAACTCCGGAGTCCTTTGTTGCATTTTCCAACACGGCCTTGGCAAGCACCCGACAATCGAGCAGTTCTAAGTTCTAAGACCCCGTCCCATTCCCGCAACCCTGTGTTGGCATCTGTTGTACTTGCTACTCGGATACGACTCCTTATGCCACTGCTGCCAAAGCTGATACTGCTGCCGCTACTAGCATCCGGCCACTGCTACCACTAGTTGTAGTCGTCGGGGTAGTCGCAGTACTTGAACGAGTACTATTACTAGTCGGGGTAGTCGTGGTAGTAGTGGTAGTAGTGGTAGTAATGGTAGCAGTGGTAGTATAGTACGCCTGCCGTGGCCACTACGGGCATTATTACTACGACGACTTCGACTACGACGACGAAGACTTTGACTGCGACTGTGACCGTGGCTGCTTTCTGATTGAGGCTACGACCACCACTACGATACTACCGACGAACCACGACCGCTACTGTTGCTACTGTGGCTGATACAGCTACAGTGACTGCTAGTGCGACCAGTACAACCACCACGGCTGCTACTCTAGTTTCCGGCTTCCTCCTTGTAGTTTTTTCAATCTGCATCAGTCTTAATAGGTAAATGCGAGGAGTGCTCTTCCTAACTTCATTATCACGAAGGCACCGGTGACCCCCGATCGCCCTACGGCCTGGGCCCTCAAAAGCTCAGAGCCATTTCCAGGGTAGAGGCCACAGGACTGTTCCTCTTGCTGTTAGTGATCTCTTGCATAGATCTGAACCTGAAGTCTGAACCCAGCCAAGGCCACTGCCGGAGATACAGATGCTAGCCACAATCCTAGACCCCGAGCACCCTAAGACAACATGGGCTAGAGGCTCGTTGGGTTTAGGTGCGGCCGGATGAAGTTTCAGCAGTCAGACCCGAAGCCTTAAATCGGAGTTTCAGAAACTCCGGGACCCCATCATAGACCCACCCTACTTCGGGCTTTCTCAATAGAAAAGGACCCCCCCTAAACCCGAAAGCCACTGCTCTAAGCCCTGGTCGTTGGAGGGTGACCACCGCAGGCGAGGATGCTCTTCCGGTAGGCATCAGGGTTTAGGGTTTAGGAATTGAAGGTTTAGGGTTTACGGGTTCAGACGCAATGTCCAATCCCGTCAGAGTCGGAGAGGACAAGGGCGCTGCCTACCCCACGCCGAAGCTTTAGGGAGTGAAGGCCCAGGCGAGTAAGCAAGGCTTCTCGGACTTCAGTTTCCGTTTCGGGACTTAAGAGTGTCGGAAAAGGAGTTGCAGTACCTCCCCCTTGCCTGGTTTGGCGGGGTTAGTGAAGAAGGATTGGGGTGCTGGATGCCTAACATTTGGGCAAGGGAGTTTCCTGGTGACTCCGGCCCGACTAGAGCCGTCAAAAGCCACCCTGATTCAAAGGCCCAACATCCCGTCACTTCAAACTCCAAGACCCGAAGATTCTAAGACACCCCTCACCCCTAAACCCTAAACCCTAAACCCTAAACCCTAAACCCTACACCCTACACCCTACACCCTACAGTCTCGGATCGACCTGGACGCTTCTTGGGCGTTCCTCGACTGAGACCAAGCTGGTTCCCAATGCCCCGGAGCGGCGCAAGAGGCGCTCCGACTTCATGGACGAGGCTCCCTGCTATGATATCTGATGCTGTTGAGGACTACTGTCGTACTTGATCGCTATCAGTGTAGTATATTCGATATATTCTGATATCAATATGTATTGTTATCATTGTTCTTATCCCCACTATTATTACTACCATCATTCTCATTCATTGTCGTTATAGTTACAGTTATACTATTCGACTATTATTGCTTATTCTTGTTTCTTTGCGATTATTATTCCTATGGATACCGATCATATTATCAAGCTGATGGCAAGAAAGGTCAGTGACTGGTCAGCGCTGTTCACCATGCTTGTAGGAGCAGGTGCTGTCTTTCCGCACTTTGCAATTCAGGCAAGCTGCAGTCTGCATGTTAGCGTTTTGGCAGGTGTCACATTCCGTCCATGTTGTCGGTTGCAGATGGCACAAGAAGAGCTTGAGTGACGCCAGGCATTTTCGCTGCCCGAAGCGGACTGGCCTGCCCAGCACTCAGCTCCACCAAGATCCTGCCTTCGCAACGCTTCGTGCACTGGATCGCAGAATGGAGTTTGCCCGTGTGTTGCTTCTCTTTGATTCCCGTAGTTACGTGCAACTTATATATATATATATATATACATACGCATGCATACATGCATACATACTTATATATATATGTATGTATAATTATGGTGCCCCTATTATATATATATATAATATACCCCTGAACCCCAGTCTAATGGTTAAAGCCCTCAATAACTGTCGCTCATGCTGACAGGCACCGGTGACCCCCGATCACCCCACTGCCCGGGCCCTCATTTGCTACACGCTAAACGGCGCAGAGTTGAGAGCTCAAAGTCTGGCGAAGGTAGGGTTTAGGGTTTAGGGTTTAAACCCTAAACCCTAAACCCTAAACCCTGAACCCTAAACCCTATAGGGTACATAAACCGGAAGCCCTTTAGGGTTAGAAGTCTGAGCTGCATGGCACCGGTCGGACATGCAGATGCCAGCCGCAGCCCACCAGACCCTCGCCCATGAGGTTTAGGGTTTAGGGTATAAGGTTTAGGGTTTAGGGTTTAGGGGTTTAGGGGTTTTATGGTTTTAGGGTTTTAGGGTTTAAGGTTTAGGGTTTAGGGTTTCCGGGTTCTGGGTTTAGGGTTCGGGGCTCAGGTGTCAGATGTCTTTTGAGCTGTGGGGTCACTCTCCGTTCTTGAGGTTTCCCTTCCCATAATGACAGAACACATCGGGCCGAGGGTTTTGGTATGCGGACCCTTTATGCCCCAACTCGGACTCAAACGAGGCGTCCTTAAATGACTCAGGGGGGCGGCGTATTTGCCAACGATGTTTCCTGATTCCCGATGTGATTGTAGTATAACATACCGCCCAAACGCTGTTCAAAGTCTTCAGACCCCTATGTTAACCCCTATAAGACCCTATAAACCCTGAAAACAACCACACAACACCTTACTCCAACAATTAAGTCGCCTGTATATTGACAGCCAGAAAGCAGCTGCCCTTGCTGCCAGGAAATAGTCGCACTGAAGCTTAAACGGTGTAAGGGTTTGGGTTGAGGGTTCGGGGTAGGGTTTGCCCTGAACCCTAAACCTTGCTTCTTTGCGAAAGTCTTCCTACCCGACCTGGAAGCGTCTTACAGGGGGCTGGACACTTCCCAGCATGATTCTTCAGAGTTTTTGATTATATTCTTAGCACGGCCTGGTACATATACCATATTCTATTATGGTATATGTTATCATGCGATATGACATTGGTCATGTTATATGAAGGTATGCAGTTCATTACAACAGCGCAGTACATTTCATTATTTTTCATTCGATCATGTTATCTCTTATTGTACTGTAATGTATTGTATTGCATATAGTTTTCTTGTATTGTGCAAAATTATATTGCGTTGTACTATACTATATTATTTTATGTTGTTGTATCTTATACTGCTATTACTATTATTGTTATTATCATTAGTGGCACAATACTCTATTTCACTGTTTAACAGCTCTATGCCATCCTTGACTCAGACCAAGCTGGTTCCTAACGCACCGGAGCGGCGCAAGAGGCACTCCCTGTTCATAGACGAGGCCCGCTGCTATGAGCTACGATACTTGCTGTTTCTAGGCTAACTACTGACTACTAATTACTTCCAGTATTGCTATTAAAATCATCACAAGCAGTACTGTTGAAAGAGGGTTCCAATGGCTCTTTTCCACCCGCATTTGTAGCCTAGGGGATGCCGAAAACAAGCTCCGAGCCATTCATCGTGTTGGTAGGAATGATTCATTCAACCTGAAGCAGTTCTGTCACCTGCTGCCCGGTCACAGGTGTCACCTCCCGCCCATGTTGTCAGTCGCACATGGCATTGGAGAGATGCCAGGCAGAAATGCTGCCCGATGCGGGCTGGCCTGCCAAGTTCTCAGCTCCAGGAAGACCTTGCTTTGGCAATCCTAAGCCCTATACCCCAAAATACAACCCCCAGGAGCCAAGCCCTGCACCCTGCAAGCTACACCCCAAAACCCAAACACTGGAACCTAGGCCCTAAACCCCTGGAGGCTGTGAGCCCTTCCCTGCCTTGAGATTCCGTGGAGACTGTGTTGGAGGCCCTCGAAGCATGGGTGCCTAAACCCTCCTCGCATTGCAGCTTGGGTGGGGGCCTGGGTTTAGGGCCTTGGCTAGGGTACTACGGCCCTATACCGCAAAACACTTTATACAACCAGTACAACCCGCGTCCCAAACCTGAAACCCCAAACGCCACACCCCAGGTCCTGACCCCAAGCCCTAAACCCTGAATCCCACAGCCTAAGTCCTAGATCCTGCTCGCCAAACCCTCCAGGCTACCAACGGCCGACCTTGAACGCTTCTGCAGGCAGAGCCGGGAGCACTGGACTCTTCTTTTGTCCTACGCCCAAGACGTCAAACCCGTAAGATGCAAGCAGAAATCTCACAGAACCCTTAACCCGGTTCCCTAAACCCTACCTTTCTGTAAAGCAAGCCTTCAAAGCAACCCTTCAAGGAACCTAAAGCTGTGGGTTTGGGGTCGGTGCTTCTCGGAGCGAGCTGGGATTCCGTTTGCTTGTTGTGAAGCTGGGAGTCAGTAGGTTTAGGGTTTAGGCTGTAGGGTTTAAAAGTTTTAGGGACTAGGTTTCGATTTTCAGATTTTTTGGAAGGGACTGATAGGGTTGTTTAGACGCGGTTTAGGGTTTTGAAGTACAGAGTTTCTGCGCTTCCAAGGCGCTTCTGAGGCATCCTCCCAATGTCTACTTGGAGGATCATGGGACCATGTGCAACCGTAATCAGGCTGTTACAGCTATAGGCAATTATAGGTATATAGGTATAGTTACCTTATTCATAACCTTGGCTGCTAAGTGCCATGATCCTCTGATTACAAGTGCTGACTCAGCATCGTGTTTTTTTTCTTGTGGCGCAGGCTGCGAGCCCCAAGCCCTATGCATCCGACGATAACCCAAAACCTAGAAGTGAGGTCAGTATCCTAGCATCCAATGGCCCAGGCACTTGTTTTTGCTTCTCTCGCGAGCCTACATACATATGTGTCACTATCATACCTCACACACGGGGTGGAGTCGGCGGTGGTAACCTGCTCATAAGCCTTTCGAGCTAGGAGCAGGTTCTTTTCTGCTCACAAGAATGCTCCTCGATCCCCCTCGGGTTCTTGAATTTATGTTGACAAGCCGTACTACTCTGGTTGTGATTGGCTTGTGTAAAACCCAACACCGCACTCAGATTGTAGTACTACCTGAGCGGTTGCTGACTCCACTGGGGAGGAGAGGCAGTGACCAGGACGGGGCCGAAGTGACATGGGGTCGCTGCTTCGGAAAAAGACCGCCGCTGCGCAGGCTTCAGGGTGGTGCAGGGCAACTGTAACCCGAAACCCGCAGCCCCAAACTCTAAAATCATAAAGAGCCCTAAACGCCAAAATCCGAAAAAAGCCCCAAACCCTAAAGTCCTAAAGAGCCCGAAACCCTAAAATCCGAGAAAAGCCCCAAACCCCAAAATCCTAAAAGCCTGAAGCCCTGAACCCGAAATAACCCTGAAGACCAACCCTGAGATCTCCGGGGTTGCGAGTTTCGCGTTCATGCATCTCTCAAAGGCTCTGGGGCTTGACTTCTACCCGGAGTCCTAGACCCCAAATGCTGAGCCCTTAACCCCTAAACCCTGAACCTCAAGCCCTCAGCCCTAAGCAGAAGTCCCAAAGGCCAGGATGCAACTATGTTGGTAGATCTGCCCTAGGCTGTAAACCCCAAAACCCAAACCCCACAATCCTAAACCCAAACCCTAAATGCAGAATTCGAAAATGAAGCGCATTGTGGGAAATATTGTGGCCTGCATGAGAACCAACACTGGTCCTTAAGGCCTGAGGGTTCTTGAGCACAGTACGCATACCCCCACCCAGTATCGTAAGTAAGCCCCCAGCAAGGACCCCAACCCTCCCCCAAACTCTGTCGTGCCGAATTGCGCTGCCGAATCTATTCTTGCTTTATCGGCTCGGCACTTTGCAGCTTAGAAGGCGCGGGATTTGCCCTTGCAAGGCTCCGCAAGGCATCGATAGCTTCCGTGGCCACAGCAATCATCCTCATAAACATAGTGTTCTTACATCGTTCTCCAACGAACTCGTTGGACAGGGTTCAGACCTTTTTCCAAGCAGGAGCCTGCAACAATGGACGCCGACGCTATAGGCGCCGTCCCATGGGTCTACTACATCCCGGTTGTGAATGTTCTGTACGATGCAAACGCCGTTCCGCCTAGCATGCAGCAGATTGATCAGATTTTGGAGACGTTTTCTACTCTGAACGGATTGCTGCTGAGTGTCTGTATTCCAACGGTGGTGCTGTTCTCGCCAGCGGACTCACTCGTAGCGAGGGCTCGGAATTGGAACGGCAGCTATGATCGCTACCGGTTCTTCAGCTTGTCTGCCATGTTTTGCATCACGGCTGCCTCGGTGAGCACCAGCCTCACCTATCTGTTCACTCGAGCCACGGACTTCGAGGGTGCAGCGGGCGTGAGCTTGGCTTACGTCTCGTGGTGGCGGTACACGAGGTGGAGTTTCTTGTTTCTGATCTTGGGAACCGTCCTAGGCAGTGCATGTCTTAGTCTGGCGATCCAGTATGCATTCGTCTTACAACATGCCCAGGGTCAGGCAGAAGCAGACCTCTTAAGTCGCTTCATGGGCAACTGGAGCTTTTACAGTTTGCTGGGCCTGGGCTTTGTTGTCCCTCTGGCTGTGGTCTCCCTGGCAACTTTGGTCAAGCAGACTGCGATACATGCAGTGGGACGCATTGCCTCCACGAGCAATCGTCAGTTTCGACCTGCCCCCAAGAGTTTGAAGACAGACGTTCTGCACAACTGCCCCGTCCTGAACATTTTTTATGATATGCTTTTCGTTCAAGTGCCGTCTTCAGGCAAAATCAACAGTGTCATGGCCATGTTGATCCTGTTCAACAGTCTGCTGTTGGCAGTCAGCATTCCCATGTTGCAATTGTTCGATGATGAGAAAGCAGCCAATGCCCGGCGGCTAAATTGGGACGGTGAGTATGACGAGTTCAAGAGACAAGTGACGCGTGGCTATGTGTTTATCGCCTCAGCAATGTTTCAAGTCGTGTGTACGCACCTTTCAGCAGTCGCAGGGACCTTCGATTCCAACACTGCTGGAGTGGGTTCCGCGGTTGCTGCATGGTGGAAAGTTGCACGCTGGAATCTTGTTGTCACTGGCTCTTGCACCTGCGCAGGAAGTATGTTCCTGTACCGAGCCGCCCACTTAGCTTTCAAATTGCAGCACATGACGACAGCCAAAGAAGGACAAGAGATTGGCAGGTATCAGGACAACAGCCTCTTTGCGGTGGTGCTTGGTTTGGGCGTGGCCTTCCCTTTGCTTGTGCTATCATTGGCGCACAGCCGGCGCCATCGGGCCATGAACCACGATGCGCCTGCAAAGGAAGAGAGGCAGCTGCTCCATCGTGCCCACTACCTTCCAGTGCCTAGGACGCCAGCAATATCCTTCTGCCCCTTCGGTGCTCATTAAGAATGGAACACTATGCTCAACTCTTGGAACATGGCGCCCGGGCTACCCCAGACCCTAAAGGGCCGGGCTGGCCTTGTGATTTGAGGGACTACTTTTTGGAAACCCAGGTGCTGAACATCTTCTATGACTTCTTCGCCAGTCTTCCGGAGACCGGGCAGCTCTTGCAGGTCCTTGAGGTCAATGGGACGATGATAGCTTTGATGCTACTCGGCGCCCTTCTTGACCAGGGGGTTTATAGTCTTAGGAGTTCACTATGGTATAACCTTGGTTTGTGGGCAAGATCTATGAGTTTTTTGTATAGTAAACCAAGTTCCCGAACATGATTTTCAAGATAGTTGTCGTGCATTTTCTTGAGAGGGAACAGCAGGTATAACCCTTCTAGGCCCCAGACCCTGCACCCTAAACCCCTGAAATACCAACGTAGGTACATCTTATGTTTTTTCTGTGTTTTCGTTTTCTCGTATGTGTATGCTAATGCAGCCCGATAAGAAACGGGGGTCGTGCGTGCGGTGTTTGTAAGACTTCGATGAGGTAGTAATTGGTGTTGCTGTTGGCCTGCTGCTGTACGCTTACTTAATTGACGAGACACTGTAGGTATTCTTAATGTCCAAAAAACCCGAAACCCTAAACCCTAGACCTTAAACCCTAAGCCCGAGACTCACCAGCCAAGGTTGGGCATGGGTGCCGAGGTCTTGCACTTGCTTCATTTCGAGGAGGCGGAAGTATCCCGGAACCGGGACTGGGACGGTGGCTACGTCGAGCTTCCGGGCTATCAGTATTATACATAGAACCATACATCTATAGCCAGACCTACATACAGATGTATATATATATATATACACACACACACACACATATACACACCCGCATGGGTATGTAAACATGTACCTATGTCATGTTTTGCTCTTGCGTTCTTGTTTTCGCACTTAACACCAACCAGTGTAGCAGTGCATGCTTTTCTCTAGTGCTCAATGAAGAATCCAGGTTTAGTGAGATGAGCCATGATGGTTTTTCCCTGCTGTTTGCCTCCTTGGTGATGTTCGTGCTGACCTACCTCTATGCTGCGATGGCCGACTTCACAGATTCAAGAGGAACGCGCAACCAGAGCACGTTCACAGTCTGGTGGTCGTGGAGCCGATTCTGCGTTTTTGCGGTCATGCTCTATGAGCACTACGGTGACTGGGTTCTTGTTACACTATTTTAGTAACGGGTTCTTCTACAGGAGCGTGCATGGTTTGAGTTACCATCATGGGTTGTCTATCCGCCTGTCTATCTGTCTTTCTGCTCATCTGCCTATCTGTCCATCTATCCGTCTATCCTTCTACCCATCTATCCATATATCCATCTACGTATCTGTCCATATCCATCCATCCAATCCATCCATCCAATCCAATCCATCCATCCATCCATCCATCCAGCCACCTCCGTCGATCGATCGAGCGGTCTATCTATCTGGTTATCTATGAACCTATCTATCTACCTATTTATCTATCTTTCTACCTATCTATCTATCTATCTATCTATCTGTCTGTCTCTGTATCTCTTTATCTATCTATCTGTCTATCTATCTGTCTATCTATCTATCTATCTGTCTATCTATCTATCTATCTATCTATCTATCTGTCTATCTATCTTTCTATTCATGCATCTATCTATCTATCTATCTATCTATCTATCTATCTGTTGATCGATTTTTCGATCTATCGATCTATCGTTCTATCGATCTATCTATCGATGGACCCATCGATCCATCGATCTATCGATCTATCTATCTATCTATCTATCTATCTGGGTATGTATCTGTCCATCTACCTATG